CCGCCCGCCCGCGCCGCCGGCGCCGCCGCGCGACAGCCGCTGCTGTCCGGGCCCAACTTTGTTGTCGGCGTCACCAACGCCACGTTCCACGAGACGCTGGCGCGCCTGGGGTCGGTCGCGACGGCCGCGCCGCTGCTGCTGGTGCTGACCGGCAACGTGACCGTCGCGCCGCACCCGGGCCTGCCGCGCGGGGGGTTCAACGTGACGCGGCCGGTGGTGATCATGGGGCGGGACGGGGTGACCACGGGCCTGGACTTCGGCGGCAAGGTGGGTGGGCGTATCGTGTGCGTGTGTGATCACGAGTGCGCGTGCGCGAGAGTGTGCGTGTTTGAAAGGGGTGTGTGTGCAAGTGTGTGTGCACACGCGGGTGTGTATACCGTATGCATACGAGGGCTTGTGCATAGCGGAGGAAGCAGCAGCCAGCGGCAGCGCCGCACACGCGCCTGGTGGACCGCCGCCAGTGCAGTGCGCTGACGGCCGCGCCGTCCATGCGTCGCCCCAGCTTGCTGGCGGGCCTGACCCGCCTTTTTGCAACCCCACGCGCCCGCAGTGCAACTTTGCGCGCGCGTGCGCAATGGCACACACGCGCATGTGCAAGGTTGTGTTGCGCATACACCTTTACAAAATACACACAAGCACAAGTGCACACACGCACATTCACCCACGCACACGTACACACACGTCCGCACACATACACACAGGTGAACGTCATCCGCCTGTCTGGTCTTGGGAACCTCACCCTCGACTCATTGGCCCTGGACAACCTGTTCCCCGGGGATGAGGAGTCCATGAGGGGCCTCAAGGTGACTGAAGCGACTAATCGTGCATGGCAGCTTCCCACCGCCGGCCACCGCCCGTTTCGCCCGCCTCAGCCGCAGGCCGCCGTCGCTGCTGCATGCCAAGCCGTCGCTGCTTCTAGCCAAGGCCGACCTCGCGACCTGCACCTTCATAATAACCCGCGCGCCTGCACACATTTGAATTCGTATCTTGAGTTTGAATTTAAATTCGAAATCTTGTCCGCAGGGCATGTCGTACTACACGTTTGGGATGTACCCCGTGATCTGGCCCCGCGAGGACCGGCGGCTGTATCTCGTGCGCTGCACCATGGGCGTGCCCACCCAGGCAGAGATTGAGGTGCGCGCGGCCGTCCGAGGTTGGGGCGTCCGAGGTTGGCGCACGCATGGGGCGGCGGCCGGCGGCGGGGGGCCGCAGGGGGCCCTGGGGTCGCTATCGCACCCCGCCCGCACCGCCTGAAACAGCCACATGACCCACCCCACCCCTGCCGCTGTGACTCTTACCCTGACCCCTCTTCAACCTCTCACCGCCACCACCCACCGCCGCCGCAGCGGCTGAAGTTCTTCTTTTCGATTTTCAACTCGGCCGACCCTGAGCTCCAGAAACAGGCGGCCTGGATGCGCAGCGGTGGGACGCCCGCGCCCGCACCGCCTGCGCCGCGCCGCCTGATAAGCCTCGCCCTGCTGGCGGCGTTCCGGCTGGCCGGGTCGCGCCGCGTCGGGCCGCGGCGGCGGCATTAGTGAGGGGACCCCCCGCGCCGCCGGATACGCACCTGCGCTGCCCCCCCCCTTCTGCGCCCTGGCCGCGAGGGCCGCGGTGCCGCGTCACGTGCAAAACTCACTCGCCCACACACACCCTTGCCGCACCCCTGCGCCTGGCGCCGCGTGGCCGGGTGCGTGCATCGTTGCAGGGGCCAAGGCGACAGTTTCTGAGCTGGCTGTGGACCAGCGGCCGGGGCTGCAGATTGTCATGTTTGTGTACAAGTGAGTGGAAGGGGGCGGGGGGCGCCCCTGCCTCCTTGGCACACTGTCCCTCGTTTTTCTCTGACAAGGACCAAGCCTGCTAGCTAGCGAGATTACAAGGCGGCAATGGTAGCTAAGGAAGAGGTGGATTGTGGCCTCAGAAAACCTCGCACAGCAAACAAGACTCGGACCACGCCAGTCAGGCAGCCAGGCGGGCACCCATCAAAAAGGTGCCCGCCAACAGCGGCCTCCCGCACATCACTGCAGCGGCAGCCAGGACGGGTAAGGGGCAATCGCCCCATATACCCCTCTCCAGGCTTTTTTTGTGCATGTGTGTCGCTGCATGCGTGTGGTCGTCCGTCCACACGCGCAAACACATATACACACGCACACGCAAGTGCACACTTGCATATACACACATACAGTGATCCACACACAACCTCAAATGCACACTCAACTTCACACCCAACTTCACACCTCACACACCACCTAAAATCGAAATCCCAGGACCATGGCCATGAAAGACACAAACGTCCACACACATTCTCTTTCTGACACATGCCCATCCGCACATACTTACACTCTTACACCTGCAAGTTTACATGCACACGCAACACACACACACAATCTTGCGTGCACAATTGAACATACACGCACACACACAATTGCGCACATCACAATACCCCCAAAACCCCCGGGCCATGGCCATGAAATACACCTATATCCAAACACATTCTCTTTCTCTCACATGCCCCCCCCCCACACACACACACCTGCACGTACACTCTTACACCTACAACCTTACATGCACACTCACAACTTCACACACAACTTCACACACAACTTCACACCTCGCATTCCACCTGAAACCCCCCTTAGGGCCATGGCCATGAAAGACACCATTGTGCAAACACACATAATCTCTCTCAAAGCTGCCCCTCCCCACATGTTTACACTCCGACACTCGTACACCTACAACTTTACGTGCACACGCAACACACGCATGCACGCAAGCATAGAATCATGCATGCAGCAACACACACAATTGCACATTCACGCTTCCAACTTCACACCCAAAAACCCCCTAGGGCCATGGCCATGAAAGACACATACATCCAGGCCGCCAACGTGGTCGCGCCCCGCGTGCGCTTCAACGCCTCAAGCAACATCTTCACGGCGGCGGAGCAGGCGGCGGAGGCGGCGGGCAGCCCGCTGCACGTGCCGCCGATCGCGGGCATTCTCAAGGGGCCAGAAGATCTGCTGGTGGGCGGTTTTATCCGGCTGTTTTTTCTGCCGGGATGGGCTGTTTTCTTCCAGGCAAAGGGGATCCCTCACGGGCCATGACAACGCTTTAGTTGTGTGGTACCAAGAGTGGCGGATGCCGCAGCACGTGTCACAACATGGTTGCGTGTTTGCCCCGTCGTCGCCGTCACTGGGGGTGGGAGCGTGCGGCCGGGTCATTGGGCGCGAAGACTGGGGGGGGGCCTGGGGGGTGTCGGTGCTCCAGGGTTGAGTGAGCAGATTGCGAGTGCATGCGCCTGCCCGGTCCTCTGAACCCCGCCACCCCTTGCCTTCACCAACCCCCACCTCATGGCCGCAGGCGAAGACGCCACTCACCCGGCCCACCACCAGTGAGCCCGCCGTATCGGCGATGCAGCCTCCTGCAGTGACTATTTTCAGGCCCTCACCACACTCGGCCCGCCCC